GTAGAGAGAGAAGAGGGGAGGGGAGGGGAGGGGGGATAGTAGAAGATAGGATAGACAGCAGAATACATCAGACACTAGAATGGCAATATGTAAATCAATGGAAGTATAACTGATGTGATTCAGCAATCTGTATACGGGGTAAAAATGGGAGTTCATAACCCACTTGAATCAAACTGTGAAATATGATATATCAAGAACTACGTAATGTTTTGAATGTCCAACAATAAAAAAAGGAAAAAAAAGATTAGAATGTAAAAAAAAAAAAAGAAAGGGTAAAGCTTTGATTAATAAGTTCTTTTTTTTAAATCACTCTCTACTTCGTAATAATTAACTATATTAATATGCATCACTCTTTATTATAGCAATTATCATCATCATCCTCTCATTCTCAAGGTCTRTGCTTTTAATCACTGTTTGATATTCTTCATTTCTATAAGGACTTTCCTATTCCTTTGTAGTATTAATTAGGTGAAATTTTTGTTGAAAAGATTAAGTACATTATTTACCTGTGTCTTTTTCTTATAGCTTTTCATTCACAAATAGAAACATTTAAGGCACTAGAGATTTCCAAAGCAAAGCATTTCAGTCTGACCTTCATTATTTGGACAAACTAATTCCCCTGCATTTATATGTGAATTATACCTTCTGCATAAAAATGCCAGATTTGCATTCTCAGGCCTCCCCGAGATTGGTGGTACACTAGGAGAAAATTAACATGATTTAAATTATTGACCTTCTTGTGACTCTTTGAGAAATAATTTTCTTTATATTTTAATAGGTAATAAAAATCAGAAACATGTTTTGAGACCTGAATCTCTTGAAGGAACAGATGAAGARGATCCAATTACAGCCCTGGAATGGGACCCACTCTCTACTGATTATCTTCTCGTGGCTAATTTGCATTATGGAATTCGCCTAGTAGATTCTGAATCACTTTATTGCATAACAACATTTAATTTTCCAAGTGTAGCAGCTTCTATACAGTGCTTAGCCTGGGTTCCCAGTGCTCCTGGCATGTTTATAACTGGAGGTATACTCATCCCTACTCCTCAAAATGTTATTTATGTATACATTCTTCAAATGAATAAGGGAAATTATAGTTAATTTAGTAGTTAATTTGTGTAAGACTTGTTAATTTCTCAAATATTTTCTTTAAATATAGTAAATGCTGAATTTACTTTTAATTTGTATGGTTATGTCATTTATATAATTACAAATAAAAATAAAATTAAGACCCAGTGTTCTAAGTATATGGAAATACAGTGTGATATATTATGTATGGGCACACATGTGTATCTGTGTTTATGTGTGTACAGAAGACAAAGTTTAACTTCAGGAATGGTAGGATGACCAGAAAAACAGTTTGCCTAGATAGGAGTTCCATTAGCCTCACTAATAATTTTGATAGCTCCTGACCAGATTCGCTTCGGCAGACCCAAAGGTTTTCAACCCAAATTGAAAATGGTTCAGAGAAAGAGGCCTCTGAAGAAATAGTACTTTCAGCTACTGTATAAATGTTTCTTATATTTGCTTAGTACAAAATAAATAAGATTTTTATCACCTCAACATTTTTTAAGAAATTCTTTACTTCTTTAGTACTTAATTTCCACATAGAAGTAGATGGAAGTAGATGTATGGATACACACACACACACACACACACACACACACACACACACACATCCTGTCATTTCACAGAACTTAATGAATAAAAGCATGTATCTATTGTTGTTATTTATGAGATATTTCACCTATCATAACATTTTCCAGTTTTGAAGGATACAATTCATTGGTTTCTAGTACATTTACAAAGTTGTACAACCATTATGACTATCCAATTCCAGAACATTTCATGACTCCCAGCAAACCCTGTACCCATTAACAGCCATGTTCCATTACTCCTTCTCAATAGCCCCTAACATACCAATGGACATAYATAAACTGATCATCCACTTTCTATCTCTGTGGATTTGCCTACTCTGGACAATTAATATAAATGAAATCATTCCATTTGTGACCTTTTTTTGTCATGTTTTACTCAACATAAATATTTGAAGTTTTATGCATATTGTGGCATGTATCTGTACTTCATTCATTTTTATGGCTCAATAATATTCCATTATGTGGATTTGCCAGATTTTTATTCATAGATACTTAGTGTTTCTATTTTATGCTTTTATGAAAATATTGTCAAACATTTATGTATAAGTTTTAGTGTAGACATATATTTATAAATCTATTAAGTATATGCCTATGAGTGGAATTGCTGGGTCATATGGTAATTCTGTTTGAAAGTTTGGGGAACTTTTCAGATTCTTTATCAAAGTTTCTATTAAGGTAGGATATTTGGAAGGAARACTTTCTGTTGGTCTTCAAGTATATTTGAAAATCCTTATTGAGATGAACATGGACAATGGAGCKATTTACAAACATTTCAAAATAGGAAGGATTATATAATGGTTAAAAGTAAATAGTTTTGGGACTGGGGTTGTAGCTCAGTGGTAGAGCACTTGCCTTGCACGTGCGACACACTGGGTTCGATCCTCAGCACCACATAAAAATAAGTAAATAAAACAAAGGTATTGTGTCCGTCTACAACTAAAACAAAAAATAAAAAAAAAGTAAATAGTTTTCTGTAGCTAACAGTTTCCTAGAATAAGTGTATGTCAATGGAATGGTTTTGTGATAAAACTGTTATAATGATCTTTACCACGGGAAGCTGAAAAAGTAGGCAGAGTCTAACCCTATGAARGGGTTTGTAGCAGCGGAAAAATAGCTCCAGATTTAAAAATTGAATAACATTTTTGTAGTTTCTTTGATTGCAATACCATACTATATTATTGTTCAAACCATGTCAATAATCAGTGTTAAAATTTTGCAAATGGAAGTTTTTGTTTTTATTTTTACATCTGGACATTTTAAATTTTGAACAAAATTTGTTAACACTTGGTTTTTTTCATCATCTGACTAGATTCTCAAGTGGGTGTTTTACGCATTTGGAATGTTTCAAGAACAACACCTATTGATAATTTTAAATTAAAGAAAACGGGATTTCACTGCTTACATGTACTTAATTCTCCTCCAAGAAAAAAGTGTAAGTAAAAAATATTATCAAAATGTTAATATTTTAAATTATATTTCTTATTAAAGTGATGTGTAGTGATATAAATGTATCAAATAATAAATGCAACTGAGATGCAATTTCTTAGAAATATTCTCTACAGATTTATATATATATTCTCTACAGATATATACGTGTGTGTATATATAGAGCAGTAAAGAAAATAAAGGAACTACCAAAGCTACAAAATAACTAATATTACTGACAATATATTTTTTCAAYGAGTGTAAGATTCTTTTTTTAAATTTTGTTTTTTTACTTTTTATTTTTACATGGTGCTGAGGATAGAACCCAGTGTCTCACATGTGCTAGGCTAGTGTTCTACCACGGAGCCACAACCCCAGCCCTAGGTTTACAATATTTGGAGCCAAAGTGCTGTTAATTGTATTCAAATAATCTTAAATTATCTCTGTGAGGAAGATGAAATAATGATAGTGGTAAAAAAAAAGTTAGAAATATCAAGAATAATGGGATAAAACAAAATTGGTTTGACTAGGAGAATTTGTTTTAAACATGGCTCATTTACCATCTGTATAGTTTATAACAAAGATAAAATAACCTAAATATTCAAATTATGGAATCTAGAAAATATATTTCATGTTTGAAGCCTGTTTTTCACTGGATTAGTATTTAGAACTGGGCATTCTATATACTCTTCATTTATTTTCATATATTTTTTTCTGAKTATCATTCATTGCTTCTATAATTAAGAAAAATAATAAAGCACACTTAAGTTATAAATGACAAGATAGGGAACGTAGAGGAAGTTCAGAATTGGAATTTTTATTAAAGGTAAGAGAAAATAAATTGACTTCCTCTTAGGTCTGTCATGATTAAACTATGCAAATGGTAATGTTTCCATTTGGCATGGATCATAAAAAACATGGAGGGGGGRAATTTGTGTTTGGAAAATCTACAGCTATTGATTCCTCCTTACTCAAGCCTTTTTACCTTTATAATATACTAATAATTAGTAGTGACTACTTAAAGTCATATTATTTTGGTATCTAATTTAGTTGACAGTGATACATAAAGGAAAAAACCTCTCTATTTGAATCCTTGGACTTTCCACAAATTTCAGCTTTTTTTTGGAGTTCTAATATTTCTAGACTGGAAACTTGAGAGTCTAGAAATATCAGGACTGATGAGGTGACATACCCAAAGCTGGCATATCATTTATATTTCATACATTTTTATGTCAGGATTTGTTACTTTGTTCAGTGGATGTGAATTTCCATATCACATAATGATTGAGATAGCTCAAATTCTTTTCATTGATATTTTTTTCTTATTCAAAAAGAAGTCTGTATCCATCAGACAAAAGTCAGAATATAAAATTAAGTCAATGTTGTTATTTTTGAGTATTGCCTTTTGGATGACCTATTGTTAGACATTTATGAAAATAAAATTTTAAAATATGGACATACTCACTGAATTCTAAAAGTAATAAATTATAAATTAATGTATAAATGTCATCAAGACCACTCATGATATCAAATAATAAAATTATTAGAAAAATAGTCATGGATCATATTAACTTTTAACTCAACTCTCAGAAATATTTTATCAAAACTATTGCTACCAAATGTCTCTTTTTTATTCATTGTTCAGTCTAATTTGGACTTCCTATCACTCTCAGGTTCAGAGAAATGAGTATTGCCTATAATGAATATGATAAGGAAAACTTTATTGTAGTTCAATTAAAAAAGAAAGATCTGATAATTTATAGTGGCATCATTATTTTGGATTCTGTTTGCAAGAAAATAGTCATACTCTTAAGAAAAATCTAGAAAGATAAAAATACAAAAAAATAACTGAACAAGGAGATATTTATATAATGGAAAATAAGAGAAACAGAAGTCAGAAAAATTAAAAAACTGAGGAAGAAAAAATAATAATTGAGGGCTGGGGATGTGGCTCAAGYGGTAGCACACTCACCTGGCATGCGTGCAGCCCGGGTTCGATCCTCAGCACCACATACAAACAAATATGTTGTGTCTGCCAAATACTAAAAAGTAAACATTAAAAAAAATTCTCTCTCTCTCTCTCTCTCTCTCTCTCWCTSTCWCTSTYT